GCGTCTCCTCGCGCTGGGGGACGCTGCAGCCGGGGGAGGCGGAGAAGCCCTTACTCCCTCTGCTTGGAGGAGCTGCCCTTGCTCGTTTGCGGCGCGGGTCCGTATCCAGAGACGTAACGGTAAAGCGAGTGTGGGCATTCTTGTATTTATTTTTTTCATTTGAAAAGGAGGCGAGGAGGCACGATCGCTTTTGATGCCCCTTGATAGGCAGGCGCTTTGGGCAGAGTTAGGGAGCCGCTCGCTCAGCTTTGGTGTCGGCAGGACTCGCCTATTGTGCCACCCAGATAATTATTCAACTATGCAGCATCCACTGCACCTTTCGCAATTTTCTTTTCTCCTTGCTACAGCGTGCCCCCTAGCTTCGATACTCTGACACCTTCGCTTGCACTTGCGATGATGAACTAGAACGATGATGAGAAGAAAGCACGTCCAACCTGAGCACTCATAACCTGTCCTGTACTCCCCAGGTAGAATAGGTACTTACTAGGACTCATTCTAACTAGCTTAAAAAAAAAAATCTAAGGTGTGCTTTGAATTTTATTTATTTATGTATTTGGTTTTAAATTAGCGTGTTAGGTAGATCTGATTTCTGCTCAGTAATTGAAGTAGTTCATTTATTGATTATTCAGCCTGCTACTCTCTATAATTTGTATGGTAGGTAACTTTGATTTCTTAAATTGTTGATAGCACAAATGGAATCTCAGTTTGAACTCTGAGGAAAAGTATATGCCTTATGCTGTAAGTTTCTGTTAAGTATATTTACTTACATTGACTATTTGAATAAAGTACTTGATATAAAAATTCCAAGTGTTGAATAAGAAATTTTGTATTTTCCAGCAGCAGAATATTTTATTTCTAATCATAGCTTTCAGTTGAAGGGAAGGATTTTGTATTTAAGATGGGGTTTTAACTGCCCCGTTGACTGTTCCCTAATTTACCTGAATTTTTAATTTTCTTTACCGCAGCATGTATTTGATATTTGCCATAGATTTTTTTTTTCTTATTTTTCTAACTTCTGTCCACAGGGATGAGTAGGTTCCAGTTTTGCATAATCTACCTGAAGCATGAAGTATTAAAAAAAAAAACAAAAACAAGAATCAATTGTTGTTTACTTGATTATTGTGTTAAAAACTGTTTATAATTTTTTAAAAAAGATTCAGAACCAAGAATATTTTTTTTGTGTGATCATCCCTTTCCCATATTTCCTTGATTAAGCTTGTTGAGTTAACCGTTTGATAAAAACAGAATTGCATACAGACATTGGAGACACAAATTTAAGGTACAGTAATTGATGGCACTTGGAAGTTGTGTATATGTAAGTTGATAGTGTTGGATCAGTTGTTTGGTTAGGAAATGACCTTGCAGTTTACAAAATGGACACCTTTGTGCCTTAGTTGTCTTATACACAAATGGACATAATACTCCTCTACTCCACAAGGTAATATGCATAAATTTAGTAAAAATGTTTTCATGGTGTTTTTAAAGAAGATTTAAATATTTTCGCTGATGAGTAATGAAAATAATTCATTGTAAAATGCAATGAAAAAGTATCTAAGTTTTTCTTTGCCGTGTTTCAGTGGCTCATTTATACTGACTTGCTTTGGACAGGTAAGGTTTTAAAGAATTTTTCATCTATCAAGGTTTTTTTTTTCTATCAAGGGTTTTTAATTGCAGGCTGATATTTATCATGAATACCTATATATAGTTGTAAATATAGGTATAGTTAATACTGATAAAAATTACCTGACTTGTTAATAAGGATAACATTTAGTTTGTAAAAGGTAAGACATCCAGAAAATGTTAAAGCTTTTTGCATTAAAAAATTTTTCTTTCCTTATTTTTGGGGGAGGTACCGGGGATTGAACTCGGGTCCTTGCGCTTGCAAGGCAGGCCGCTGAACCGCTGAGCTAAATCCCTGGCCCCTAAAAAACTTTCTTATGGCGAAATCCAAAATGAATAGTTGTGATCATGTAAGGTATGATATGGAGCTACTTTATTATTGCTTAGTATTGCTATCCATATAGCAAAATATTAATACTGTATAATGGCATACATATTTTAAAGTTTGGTTTTGTTTGTACATTTGCAGTACATATTTATATTCTTTGTGTGAAGTTGGTACATGTGCATAACACATCTTAATTTCTTTTTTCATACCCCTCATCTCCCTCTCTTGATCCTCTTCCCATTTAAGATCCGTCTCCTTATTTTCTATTATCTTTTATTTTGCTTTTTATTTATAATGTGGATTTCTCATAGAAATTAAATGTATGTTTTGCATAATTTTAGATATCCTTTTCAAGTACTTGACTTTTTTTATCAGAATGGATAGTAGCTTTTGACTTCCTTATTGGAGGACTAATGCAATTTTCATAACAAAAATTATTTTAAAAATTATTAGAACTTTTACCCAAGCAGTGCTTTTGGTTACTTTGTAGAAGAACTTCATATAAATGATGGGAATCTTAAAAATGTCTTTAAAATTCCTATTGTATAGTGTTTTTTTGAGAATGAATTTGATTACATTTTACAATGTTTTCTTAAATTTAGCTGTCATTATTACTTGAATAAATGCAGTGAACTCATAGATTAAACTCAGTGTAATCCAAAGGTGCTAGCATAGTGTTCAGCAAATAGCAAGGGTTCAGTTTTCTTTCCTGAACAAATAAAATGAATAAGGAATATCTATTGAGTTAATCTTCTCAGTGAAAAATTTTAAAGGTAGATTTATCAAACATTAATTAATGAAGCAGTTTATCTGGAGGGAAAAGAGAAAAATGTATTTGGAAGTTCTTTGAAAGCTTTTATAATCTTTTTGCTTTTTTTTTTTTTTTTTTGAACTAGCACTAGATCACTAGATACTGAATAACGTACATGTTAGCAACCTAAGTGAAATGATTTCTTTTTATCTTTTATAGTTAACTTCTTTTATCTCATATCTATTTCTTATAGAAAATATACAGTAATTATTTTTTCTGTAGAAATGTTTTCCTTTTAATGTAAGTTTTCCAGCATGATAGCATTAAAAAGATACATGAAATTATATTGTGTGCTAAATATCTGAATATCTAATTTTTAAAACAAATGATCCCCAAGTTAGAAATTTTTATAAAGTAAAGAATCTTTTGATTTTAGTTTATCATGGTTCGCTTATAATTTTGACTCTTTGTGACTTGGTAGTCCTAGCATTTAAAACTTGTAAAATGGTTTGAAACTTGGGATTTATATTCTCTAAAATAATATGCTTAGTGCTTAGGTTTACAGAGAGCCCACTAAAGGCCATTTAACCCATAATATACCTGAATTGTAGAATTATGCTAGCAATAATAGAAAATATAGCTGGGCGTGGTGGTGCATGCCTGTAATTCCAGCACTCAGGAGGCTGAGGCAGGAGGATCGCTATGAATTTGAGACCAGCCTGGGCTACATAGTTAGTCCCAGGTCAGTCACAACTACATAGTGAGACCCTGTCCAAAAAAAAAAAAAAAAAAAAAGAATTATAAAATTATACTGATAGTATAAATACATTCAAATACTTATGACACTGTATATGACCATCCTTATATCTTGTTAGCCATGATAACATTATTAGGAACTTGTGCACTTTCACCCATTGGACATAAAGAGGTGGATATTCCTCAGCTCGCTACTTTGTTCAACCTTACTGCATCTGGAGGGAGAAGTTAGTGCGTGAGAGAAGTTGGAACGAGCTCAGGTCTTCTATGTGACTATCTCTCAGGGTCTTTGGTTCGGTCAGTTGTTAAGCAAGTTAAAATAGATGATTTCTGATGTTCCTTTTAGCTACAAATAAAATTCTTGAGGCAATGGGAATATCATTATAATTCCCTTTTTCTGAATGTGTTTTTCCTTTCTAATATTACTGCTTATGTACTCTGTCAGGGAATTTTTCCTTTTTGGATCTACCTCTGAAAAGAACATAGTTCTAATCTTTTTCTCACATGTGTATTCTTGGAAGCAAGGCTTTGGAGTTTTGTTTTGGTTGGTTGGTTTTTGTTATTAGTGTTTTAAGAAACATTTTGTTAGTTTTTTTTTTTTCCTTCCCTCTGTCCCTTCTTCCT